TTCCAATGCCTATAGGCGAAAATGAACAATGATTTCGCCTATCCTTTTCGTCATCCAAAGTTCATCGTACGATCATAGTTGTTCGATAGTGTTTCAATTTTTATTTTTTTTCTACAAATCCAAATTACTTGAAATTTGAAACGTATGTATAACTTAGTGAGGTACGCCCCACTAAGATGTATTTTGGTCAATTTATATTTTGTGAATTATTATTTTTTTCCTATTTTTATTAGGTGCACCCCACTAGGATGTATATATGTTCCAAATTTTAGATCATTCCGATTAGTAAAAAAAAAAATGAAAAATGAAACACTACGAGACAACTGTGATCATGTGATGAAATTTGGATGGTGATGAGAATAAGTGAAATCACTGTTCATTTTTGCCTATAGGCATTCTGCAGTGTCTTCCTCTCTCTCTATATAGGCATCTTCCTCTCTATATATATATAGAGTTGAATGTTTTTTTTGGTGTTTTTGATATAGATTGTGTTAGGATTACTTTAGATAATTTCTTTTATTGATTTTTTCTTCATTGCTTGTTTATCTGTTTTTTTCTAAAAAAAAGCTCGACAAGACCTAAAATGAGACAAGAGCCAAAATCCACTCAACTTTTCAATAGTTTAATCATATTAACATTTACCTGAATTTTCACAAATCCACTTATTTTGATTTAATAAAATTATTAAATTACGTATAAAAGATGAACAATTTAGCACGTTACCTGTATCTTTTTATTTAATCTTAAAAATACCAATAAACAACCCTGGGCTTTGAGTTGGAATACTTGCAAACATGCAACATGTTAAATCTCTTTTTGGTAGTTTGTTAAATTTCCTTCTAATTTTTAGAATTTATTGAAAAAAATTGAATTTTTTTTATAAGCTCAATATGGCCGAATCGGGTGAATCAATCCGAGTCAAACAATTCACCAAATCAAATAGAATTGTGGATGACCGGTTCCACCACCCGTTCCGGTTTTTAAACCTTGCCTATCCCATATGTCAGAAACCAAGAGTACAGTCTTTACAAACCACACTCTTGATTTCAGCCTATCTAAATTTCAGATAACAATATAATATAATACACGCACTCTTTCCTCTAGACTTTATAAAGTTTGTGGCTGAATTTTAAACTTCTGTAATGAATGCAATTTTTGTGTAATTATTAAAGTTTGTGGGTCACATCTCCACTGAGTTGTACCACTAATTACCACACAAAAAGGGGAGCACTCAATCCTATGGGGGAATTATTATCACCCTTAATCATAGCTCTTGCAGCCAAGATATTTGATGACATTCATAACTTTCCAATGAAAGAGCATGCATTTTTGTCACAATAAATTTGAAAATATATTTTAACGCTATGACAAAGATTTTTATTATTGAAATTGTATTTTTCAACACTATTTGAAAGTAGGTTCTAACTCGATTGTTTACAGCTTAGGCTCTATACAAACCGTACCCTATTTGTTTGGCTAGATATTTTGAAATTAAACTAAAAGATAAAAGTAAAGTTTTAAATAATTCAACAGATAAATTTCCCTGTTTTTAAGAGAAACAGACTATACCCTCTCTCTAAAATTACTATCCCAAATAACTCCCTTGTAGCATTAAAAGCCCATAGAATGCCAACTTCAATAAAAAAAAAAAAAATTGATCCCCTTCTAACCGTTTTTATTGTTTAAATTACAAAATTGACCCTTCTTTGTTTGAATAACCCCATCATAAAAATTAAATTTGTGATGCTTTTTTTTAACTTGTGAGTTCACAGATAAGACTAGAATTAAGTATTTAGAGAAGGTTGTTAGAGAGAGAGGGAGGAAGAGGTCTATGGGGGAGAAAGAAAGAGGAGAGCTTTTCCAAGATGTAAATTACAAGGTGATTAATACAAAAGTAGGGTAAACGTCCTTTTTTATTTAACTTCGGGGTTTCTTTATAGGACCTGGGGGTTATTTGGAATTATAATGTTAGAAAGTGGGGTTCATATCTAATTTCTTATTTTTTTAATGGAGAGAGAGAGAGATATAGATAGATAGATAAATAGATATTGCCATATGTATTACACTCAATCTCTCTTATGACATCAATCTTAATAATATCTACTGAACTTTCAATTCTTCAGGCGTGAAGAGAATATAGAAAGTTTGTGTCGGTTTTGTTTTTCTTTACTAATTTCTCAGGTACAAATTAGGTCCAATTAGCTTTCTTCCTTTGGGATTCAAGCTTGGGCATGATTAAGGTACTGACGACTGCAACATTATGTCTTTTTTTTTTTTCTTCAAAAATCTATCCTACCATTGAACTGCCCAATGAAAAGTGCACCACTCTCATTTTCATACAGATATTCTTATTCAATTGTAATAGGACTTCCTATGATAACAAAGATAGATATTCCTCCTCCAATTATTACAGCATTCACTACATGAGAATATGCTAGTAAACCCCTTATTTAATATCCTAAAGATTACCAGTCAATCAAGTATTCACATCAAGTCTTTGATGGTCTGAATTTTCACATCAAGTCTTTGACTTCATTTTCTTGCATTGTCAAAGCACTAATCTCTATGAGCTATCCATTTTAAATCAGTGGGGGAAATTCTAACTTTTTACCATAATATGCAACAAGAGTATTAATTCTTCCCTTGTGATCGGGTGCGCGGAAGGAACTGAAGGCGAGGGGATCTCCGCATTGCAGGCTTTGCTTTGGTGCCTAGTTTTCGCTTCCGATTTCCCCCTGAATCTCTTGAATTCTTATCTGTGGAAACAGCATCAATCATCAAAACTTGTTCTGCCATAATAAGGTCTGAGAAAAAGAAACTTAGATAAAGAGAGGCAGTTGTTTGAGAGTTTCATCAAATTTTTGGCACCAAACTAAGGGATAAACTCCCTAAGTCTAAGCCCAATGCAGAACAGATACATGGTAAGATATTACAGAAGTATGGTCTGTTTTGGCTCCTAAATGGCAGTTAAGATACCTTGACAAGCACTAGAGTTAATTTTTTACAACGAACAGGCGCTAGAGTTCATGTCTCTCCTATTCTCACCCGGATCTTCTTCACTAGTAGTATCGCTGACAGCCTTGGAACCTTCCTTCCTTTTCTTGACTTCATTTCTCTAAGCACCATAAGTCAAAGAAAGGCGCTTTCTCTTATATGTCTCTCCACTCTCAGTTGTGTCATGATCATAGCACTCATTGGTATCATGTAATTCACTAGAAAGTATAGCCTTACCAGACGAGTTCTCCTCAACACTATTTATGGATGAACGTGTCATCCTTTTCAAATAACTATTTGAGTTTCCATCTCTGATAATCCTCAACCTTGCTGGTCTCTCTTTCTTCATTTGCAGGCATGGAGTCTCTTTTGACAAAGAAAACCTCTCTGACTTACCACCATCTCCATTAGAAACATGCAGCTCAGAGTTGCTCATACACTTCTGAGCATTTCTTTGTTTTATTAGGGTGTTGGCATCTGACAGAACTAGAAATCAAAAGGCTAGATTGTTAAAAAGAAAAACAAATAGCTATATATCAGCATAGAGCTATCAACATAGACTCTTTATATTCAATATAGGTACCATGTGAGTTTTGGGAAGATGGGTTTTCTAAGCCCACAACCTTTAATCCTGTAAAATGAGAATTTTTGGTATTTTTTTGAAATTCAGACATCAATGAAGCAAGGGCTGCTTGCGAAGCTAGTGGATTAAGGCAGGTTCTCCTCTTTTGATAATTCATAAGAGGGGTAGCTTGGTCACTGAGAAGATCCAAGATGGTTTCCTTTCTATTTCTAGTTGATCTTGTGATGCTCTTCCGGTAATCTGGACCATAGTCATGCATGACGATAACATTTGAATGGCTAAGTGCCCTGCGCTCCTTGCTACTTTTAGTGAGGCCAACTGCATTACAAGAAACTATGAGAAAGAGAGAAGGGCCCACACTACTGTGATGCATATATTACCACGTTCTGTTTCTTCATCAACAAAACCAAAATTCTATGGTGCATGAGGTAGTTGAGAGAGAGAGAGAGAGAGAGAGAGAGAGAGAGAGAGAGAGAGGAGAGAGAGAGAGAGAGAGAGAGAGAGAGAGTAGTACGTACTACGTACTAGTACGTACGTACGTACGTACGTACGTACGTACGTACGTTCGTTACGTTACGTTACGTTACGTACGTAACGTAACGTTACGTAACGTTAAC